CTCCGCTGGTAATCTGGCCGGCAACAGGTCCCAGGACCCACTATGTAACCACCTGTGTGATGCCTAGTAACAGTGCCTCCAAATTGGAAGGGCGCCTAGCAAGGGGCGGGGCGAGAGAGCTGACGCGCGCGCGCGGCAAGTCTGCAGCCTCTTCGCCGAGGGCTGCTTTCACTAGTCTGAAGGGGCAGAGTAGCGTCCGTCGCTCAAGCGCGTGGCTTCTTTAGTCTCTCAGCTTTGGGCACCTCAAACTAGCTTTTGGGAGTGAAGAGGGTACGCAATTTCCCCACCATGTCTGGTGAGTCAGACCAGCCTCAGGCCGGCCCCTCACATGCGGGGCTGGACCGGCAGAAACCTGAGGTAAATCGGGGTAGTGGCTCGGGTGGAGTGATCCGAAGGGGCCGTGTCCAAGGACCCAGTTGGATTCAAAAGGTTCTTGAGCAAATAACAGACTCACCTCTCCGATGGGTCTCCCCCTCGGAGGTGGTGCCTGTCGCTGTGCTGGCCGTCCAAAGGTACCTGTTAGAGGATGAGCCACGAGACACGGTACCTAAACTTCCCCTTTACTGCTATGATGTGACTATCTCAGACGGGGTGTACCAGGAGAAGTGCTTCCTTGATCCCAGACTGAACTTTCTTGTGTATAAAAATATTCTTAAAGTTGGCATAGAAATGAAAATTTTCAGAGTCTCGTGTCTTTACAATGAGAAAAGGTTAGGCCAAGGGATCCTGTGCATAGATAACATCCACTGTGGGGAGACCTTGGACACTATTTCTTTAGCGATTCCCTTCAGAAATAGTGCTCATGAGGAGATACCGGAGAGACCCTTAAGGGGCGGGAAGAGTCATTACCTGGCCCTGTGGAATAACGAAGATCCGTATGGAGATATCTGGTTAACCAACAAGCAACCGGAGGAATACAATTTTAACAGTGAGTAATTGGAGGGAACGATGGGATGGTGTGTAAAAATAATTTTGGGGTGCTTGCGTTAATGGGAAAGAAAAAGAAAGTGTTTGGGTATTTATTGGAAGTGATAGTAGACAATTTTTCATGACTGACGGAGAGACGCCCGCTTAATAAAATTTGCACAGCCCTTGTTTTGCTTTGTGTAAGTGCCTGTTCAGGACATGTCTGAATACGTCTTAATTTTTTTTAATACATCTTAAATTTACCTGACAAACATAGTGGTGTTGCAATTAGTAGTCCTCATGTGTTCATTGTACGTTTGACCAGTGGAATTAATCTTAAGGTCATTCCCAATTCAGTTGTGGAAATAGTATTGTGTTGGTTGGAGTGTGTGTGTGTGTATACATACATATATATATATGTGTGTGTGTGTGTGTGTGTGTGTATATTTTAATTTGGCATAAAAACTTGTAAATATTTGTGGGTTTGTGTGTTTTAACCTTCTTTCAAAAAAAGACGTTCTATAACTTATTCCTTAATAATTTACATTCATGAAACGCCATATTTATGTCCTTGAGTGTAGCAGTTATGTAAATAATGGCTTTTTGAATGTGTGATTTTGTGGGAAGGCTTGGAATTCTCATTTTCATATTTCTTATGACGACGGATAATGCTGATCTGAGTTCAATTCTTCTGTATCAGAAATAGGAAATTAACCTGAAAATGCCAGCTGGTATCAGCAACTATTCTAAAATATGTTCTATCTCTATAAAAGATGAAAGTAAAGAGAATGACATCACTATAGGCATGTACATGTATGGAATGAGGAAGAAATAAAATGCAAAAAATAAAAGCAAAATTACCAGAGAGAGAAAGATTATAATTTTCTACATTTACTGCTTTTCAGGTGTGTGTGTGTTTTTTTACCTTGGGCTCATAGTGCTAGACCATAGATAATCTTACTATGATGTGTAACAGCAACAAACTTGAAAGTGAAAAGATAACTGCATCAAAAATATGCAATTAAAGTAATATCCAGTTGTAAGGAAAAAAAGATGCTATAGAAATGGGTAGCCAAAGATTATTTAAGTAACTTAAGCTTTAAAAGCAAGATAGTAATTTCAGGAATGAAATAATGGAATGATTTTTTAATCTCAGTGGTACATTACTACTCTAAGGGTTGATCATTTTTTATTTTTAGAATTTAATCTATAAATGAAAAATTGGTACTCTAGAAAAATTTAGGATAATAATAATTAGTAAAAAATAATATTTCACTTTTCTGATTATGAAAGCAATATCTGTTCATTATTGAAACCATATTTTTATTACAAAAGGCAATGTCCAGGTGCTAAAAAACCCCAAAATTAAATAAGGTATATTATATTAAAAATGTAAAGTCCAAGTATAGTAAAACTTGATGACAAAACCTAGAAGTAGGTATATTGGTGTTCTTTCAGGATAGCTGTATGTTTGAAATTTTTAATAAAATGTTGGGGTGGAATGAAAGACTCTTTTTACCTCCTCCTATGCCTTCAGCTTTCTTCTCAGAAGTCCACACTGTCAGTCATTTGGTATGTAACTTTGAAAAAAATTAATTATTTGGTGTCACGTGACTTGCTATTTTCACTTATCTTAAGCATTTTAATGTATATCTGTTCATACACTCTCCCATGGTATGGATGCATGATGATTTATGTAATCATTCCCATGTGAATGAGTAATTTGTAATTTTAGGAAGTTATTGTTTTTTAAGTTTTAGATCCAAACCTGAACATCATGAGGATATACACATATGTGTTCACTATGCTTAAGTATTTCTGTTGAACGGATGGATTCCTAGAAGTGAAACTGCTGGTTTAAAAAGTATTTGAATTTCTAATTTAATGAATCATCTTCTGAAAAGGTTGTACTAATTTAGATTCCAATGAATATATATATGCCTATTTCCCCATATTGTACCATTTTTAAATTATATCTTTTAATTTTTCTAATTAATTTGTAGGACATTTTTTGCTAATGGTTATTGAGTTTTTGTCTGCTATATATTGCAAATTATTTTCTCATACTCTGTCCTTTTTCTCTTACTTTTGTTTATAGTGAATTTTTGTGCTTTTAAAACTTTTCTATTAAAATATAATCTGTGCACAGTAAAATGACAGTCTTTAAAATACAGCTTGATATATTTTTACATATACATCTATATATCTATATGTCTACACACACACACATGCGTTCTCCTAGTCAATACCCTACTCTGAAGGTAACCAATATTGTGATCTCTAGATAGCTTTTAAATTAGAAGTTAAATCATGCCACTTTCCTGCCTAAATCTCTCCAGTGGCACTCCATTGTTCCTAGGGGACAATTCATACCTCCACAAGGTCCTGCAACTGTAAAGAGCCAAACAGTAAATCTGTTTGTCTTTGTAATATTTAAGGTCTGTGTGGAAGCTATTCAATTTTGCCCTGGTATAGGAGAAACAGCCATAGACAATATGTAAATGAATGGGCTTGGCTGGGTTAAGATGGAACTTTATTTACAAAAAAAGATAGCAAGCCAGATTTGGCTCATGGGCAATAGTTTGCAGACCCGTGCCCTGCAGAATCCCCTAACTCACCTCTCTAACCTCATTTCTAACCCCTTTCCTGCACCACTTTGTTTCAACAATATGAGTCTTCTTTCTGATCTTCAAACCTCCAAACTCTTTTCTGCCTCAGGTACTTTGCCCCAGCTTTTTTGTCTTTCTGGAAAATTCCTTCCTGTCCTTAGGTTTCTGCTCAAATATATAAAACATATTAGAAAAAGAGCCATTAAATGTGTTTCCCTTACCCATTTATTATTTTTACATCACCGTGCAACTGGCCTTTGAAGAACTGATAACACTGAAATTATTTTGCTTTTTTTTTTTCTTTCTCCTCCCACTAGCTTATAAGACCCATGAGAGGCAAGGGCTCTGTTTTTTTACTGCTGTAGGTTATTTCCCCTATATCCAGAACAATATCTGGCACATAGTAGACATTCATTAAGTGTTTATTAAATAAAAGGATGGATGAAATAAATTACATTAATGGATTTTCTAACATTGAACCACTTTTGTATCTCTACTTGATCATCACTGTTATTTTTTCAAATGAATTTGGTCTATAGGTTTTGTTATTTTCATATCAAGGGCTTTATATTTTTATTTACTCAATCTTTTTTTTTCTTTTTATTAAATTCATTGAGATGACACTGGTTATTAAGATTATATAAGTTTCAAGTTATTTTTAAGGGGGGTACTATTTTAGTCCTCTTCTGATATCGAGTTAATTAATATTTGCCTAGTACAATAGGTTGGGAAGCTTGCCCATTTTTCTGTGCTTAAAGAAATCATGTGTCCATTGAAGGTTTGGTAGAATTTACCCTTAAAACAATATGAATCTGGGGCCTTGGACCAGGATTGGAAGTTGGGAGAATGGTTCCTTTTCAATTTCTTGCAGATAAAGTAATGAAATCAATTATGCTTCTTCTTGACTCCATTTTTGAGAGTTGATATTTTACTAGGAAATTTTATTTCACCTAAATCTCACTGTTGTGCATAGTAGTCTATATTTTTAAATCTCTGTCTTATTATTTATATCCCCTTTTACATTCCTAAATTTTTGTGTTCATCCTTTTTCATGACCAGCTTTGCCAGAGGTTTGTCTATTTTATTGTTGTTGTTGCTTTTTTAAATACTTGGCTTTACTAATTAAGAAATCTGTAAAGAGGAAATGTTTTCTACTTTATTTCTGCTGTCATCTTTAATTCCTTTTACTTCCTTTGTTCATTATGTTTTTGTGCTACCTTCTTGAGTTTAATGCTTGGTTCATTTATTTCCTTGTTTATTTCTTTTAAAAGATTTAAAAATTCTGAAATTTCCCATGGGTACGTACTTCTTTGGCTGCATCCCCCAATTTTGTAGTGTAGAGATTGTTTGTGTTATTCATTATTCATATTTTCTGATTTTAAATTTGAATTCTTATTTAAACTCCAAAAGTTTAGAAAAGGCTTACTTATTAGATAAGTTCCTTATACCAAGTTTTAAAATTTTAATTACAATATTCTTTTTTTCTTTTTATTATTTTTAAGATTCTATTTTTCAATTACAGTTGACATTCAATATTATTTTATATTAGTTTCAGGTGTACAGCATAGCAGTTAGACAATTATATAATTTACACAGTGATCCGCCTGATAATTCAGGTACCCACCTGGCAACACACAGTCATTATTTTTAAATCTATTTTATTTGCCCATTTCTCTGAGAGAAGCATTGGCTTCTCTCTTCCCCCCTAACTGCCCCCGCCCCCAGGCCTTCACACTATTGCCTGTGTCCATAAGTCATGCATGTATGCATCTAAATTCTTTAATTAATCTCTCCCCCTCCACTCCCCACCCCCACCTTCCCTCTGAAATTTGTCCGACTGCTTCATGGTTCTATATCTCTGTATGTATTTTGTTCATCAGTTTTTTTGTTCATTAGATTCCACATTTAATGATGGTGTTTTATTTCTTCTTATACTTCTAAAGGTTTTTATTTAGATGTTCCTATAAATGTGTAAACTTTTGTAAGTTGTTAATATGTTGTTGGTGGATTTTACTCTTTTTTTTTTTTAAAGTTTTTATTGGTGTCGCCATCACAGTGGGTATGAGGTGGGAATCTCACAGTTTATTTTTTTAAATATATCTTTATTGATCTCAGAGAGAGGAAAGGAGAGGGAGAGAGAGAGACAGAAACATCAATGATGAGAGAGTCATTGATCAAGCCCGCAACCCGGGCATGTGCCCTGACCGGGAATCGAACCCCGATCGCCTGGATCCTAGGTCGACGTTCAACCGCTGAGCCACGCCCGGCCGGGCGGATTTTACTCTTTATCAGTATGGAATTTGTCTCTTTGTCCTTTTTGCCTTGAATTATATTTTGTCTGATAGTACTATTTACCATTTCTGCTGTCTTTTAGTTAGCATTTAAGGCAATGTTTCTCAAATCTTTGTCTATCCCTTTATTTCCATTTTTTGATAGGTTTGGCTCTTTTAAGAAACGTATAGCTAAGATTTTGTTGTTTGGCCCAAGCCAATTTTTTTTCTTTTAATAGATTAACTTAATCCAATTAAATTTAATGTGATTATGAGGTTTGTAACTGATCTTGCAATTCTACTTTATTTTTAATATATCATGCTTTTTTTCTTACTTTTGCAGGATTTAATTTTTTTTCTTCTAGTTTTTAGAAGTTATACATTATATTTGTATTCTCATAGTGGTTACCCTTAATGTTTTCTTTTAATTCTCACCAGAAGATATTTTGTTTTGCTTTTTTTTTTTTTTTTTTTTTTTTTTTTATAATAACTATCAGTATTCTGTATTTAATTTAAGTAAACTTTTCTTTTTTAAGCTATAATTTTTAAATTTATTGGGATGACACTGGTTAATACAATTATATTGGTTTCAAGTATACAATTCTATAATACATCATTTGTATATTGCATTGTGTGTTCACCACCCAAAGTCAAATTTCTTTCCATCACCATATATTTGACCCTTTTACTAGTTACTGCCTCCCTCTCCCCTATGAGTTTTTGTTTGTTTGTCTTGTTCGTTCATTTGTTGCTTTCAGTTTTATATCCCACATATGAGTAAAATCATATGGTTCTTGACTTTTCCTGTTTGACTTATTTTGCTTAACATAATATTCTCAAGATTTATCCATGTTGTTGCAAATGGAAGTATTTCATCTTTTCTTATGGCTGAGTAGTATTCCATTGTATATATGTACCACATCTTCTTTAATTATCTGTCAAAGGACACTTTTATTGTTTCCATGTCTTAGCCATCATGAATAATGCTGCAATGAACATAGGAGTGCATATATCTTTATGAATAAATGTTTTCAAAATTTTCGGGTAGATACCCAGAAGAAGAGTTGCTGGTTCATATGGTAACTTGATTCTTAATTTTTTGATGAACTTCTATACTAGTTTTTTTAATCTTTATTGCTGACAGTTTTACAAATTACCCTTTGAGACAGCCTGGAGGGACCTGGAGATGATTATGCTAAGTGAACTAAGCCAGTCAGAGAAACACAAATATCACATGATCTCACTAATATGTGGAATCTAATGAACCAAAGATATGTTTTTATTGATTTGAGAGAGAGAAAGAGAGAGAAACATCAATGTGAGAAACATCCATCGGTTGCCTCCCACAAGCGCCCCTGACCAGGGATGGAACCTGCAATATTTTGGTATAGGGGACAATGCTCCACCCAACTGAGCCACCCAGCTAGGGTGGTCACCTTTAATGTTTTAACAAATTATTTAAACTTACATTTTTCTGTTAATCTCCAGAATTTTTCCCAATTTATAATATCCCCCTCCTGATCAAGACAAAATGTTTAGGAATCTACTTGTTCATGATATAATTGGGCTTGCTGCTATATTGGATTTGAAAATATTTTATTTAGGATTTTTGCTATCATAAATGATTTGCATGTATAGTTTTCTCTTTTGTAATATTTCTGTCATGATTTTTCAGGATTTATCTAAGTTTATAAAATGAATTGGCACCATTTCTATATTTTAATGTACTTTAGAACAAATTATAGTTAAGGGAAAGAGCTATTCTTTGAAAGTTGTTAGAATTTTCTTGTAAAAAAGCATGTGAACCTGGTTCCATTTGTGGAGGTCATTATTTGTGAACTTTTTCATTTTCATTTTCTTCCATAGTTATTGACCTATTCAAGTTTTCTTCTGCTTCTTAAGGCATTATTGGTAATTCATATTTTCCTAGAAGATTATATATTTCACTGATATTTTCAAGTTTAGAGGTAATCATAATAATATTTTAAAAGTTTTCTCTATATTTATAGTTGATTACATTCTAAACATTATATTTTTGTTTTCTTTTTTCATGATTACACTTGTCAAAGGTTTACTTTCTTATTAAATTTTCCAGAGAGTTGGATTTACCACTTCTACTGTTTTCTAATTTTTTATTTTCAGCTTTTATCTTTATTCTTTTTTGCATTCCTTAGACTTATTCTTTTGCAACATTTTTCATTGTATGGGTCAAGGCCCACTAGGGGCGCTCCCAAGACATTTTCAGGGGATTCACAACATCAAACCTTTTTTCATAATGACAATATTAAAGCTTTATTTACCCTTTTCACTCTCATTCTCTCAAAAGTATACAGTGGAGTTTTCTAGAGGCTGCATGACATGTGACATTGAAACAGTGAAACAGACAGAATGTCAAAGAAAATATGCCTATGCAGCTGTCTTCTATTAAGCTAGACACCAAAGAGATTTGCAAAAGTGTAAAACAATTCCACTCCTCTGAATTTTTAGTTTTGGAATATATAGTCATATTTTTAATGCATACTTATATTATACATAGTAGGTTTATTGTTATTTTAAGGGAATTGATGAATAATTGATATGTCTTAGTTTTTGTTTATAATATGATAAATACTAATAGATAATACCCACATAAACAAAAACTTTTTAGTTCTGCAATAATTTTTAAGAATGTAAAGCATCGAGAGACCAAAAAGTCTGAGAATCACTGGTCTATTGCTTACTATCTAAATTGTTATATTGACTGTCATACATTATGTAAATAAAAATGGAAGTGGAGGATGCCTTAGCGAAATAAATATTAGATCAATAAAAATGTAGGCTTTAAAAGTTTGGACTGTGGGCTAGGGAGAGCAAAATATGAAGAGAATTGTTAGTGGAACCCTTCTTAACACAAGGAAGAATAAAATCAGAAATACAAGTTAATTTTTAAAATATGGTGAATAGTTTTTAAGCAGTTTTTGTACTTGCCAGCAGGCTTAGAGATTAAAACATTTCAAATTAAATTATATGTCATATAAGATGATAAGTGCTGTGTAGAAAAATAAAATGGGATGGGAGAAAAGTAAAGGGATCAGTTTTCAATAGGGTGTTTAGGAATAACATCACTGAGAAAGTGACCTTTGAGCAAAACTTGGAAAGGAGGAAGTCACTTGGGTATCTAAGAGGAAGACATTCCAGACAGAGGGAGCAGCAAGTGCAAAGGCCCTGATAAAGGACCATGTCTGGCATGTTTGGGAAAAATGGAAACTAAGGTAAGGGCAATACATAAATATATCATAAAACAATTCTATAAATTAAATATGAAATTGCTTAGTAGTGGCAAAATAGTACATGACATTGAGTTTTTTCGACAAAATTTCTTAAGGGAAGTGAGTTTAGATCCAAGTATTCTAGGAAGTAATTAAACGATTTTCTAAGGTGGAGGGGATTCTAGATTGAACAGTGTGTTAGTAAATATAGGTATTTACCTATGTTCCAGGCATATCGTGAGTCATATATAGGAATAGTGTGCACTATTTTTTTATATGTAGGAAGAAATAGACTGGCTTAAGCTGGTGAAAAGGAGTAAATTTGACTTTGGGTATAATCTAGCTACCATTTTTAACCAGTAAAAGAGAATTTTGAAATTACCATGAAATATTAAGGAGGATTTTTTTCTTTTCTGTATTCTAGATACCAAAATAATTTCCCTTTCTCACCTTGAAATGACCTGGACTAACAGAAGGAATTTTCCTGCTTTGCTTGTGAGAATAATGCATAAATCAAGACTAAGATACTATGGAAAACCTGACAAAAATATGATTGAGCCATACCAGGTATAAGTAATGATAAAATAGTATATGTTTATTTAACAATTAAAGATTATAGCTTACAGACCTAACTTCATATTAGAATAATTTATGTTTAAATAACCTTTATAGGTTAAATAATATTAAAAACATTACAATACAGCCTACTATTAGTGCTTTAAATAATTACATAATTGTTTAAAAACAATGGAAATGAAATTATACAAATCACCAAAAACTCATAAAATTATAATGATGTACATCTAGCCAATATAGCTAGTATTTGAAAAGTCTCTGAAATATAAGGAAAATTTTCTCTCTTTCTTCCTTGCTCCTCTACAAAGGGAGTGGAGAAATATGCTCACCATTGTCACATCCCAACAAAGGTCCCCAAGATGGGGTAGGTTTGTATGGTGCAAGCAACTCAAAAAAAAAAAAAATGTATGGAAGCAGGGATCACAGTGATGAATCTTAGAGGGAAGGTAGGGGTAGGTGGGTGGGTAGGTGGGGAGAGATTAACCAAAGAACTTATATGCGTATATGCATAACCCAAGAACACAGACAATAGTGTGGTGAGGGACTGGAAAGGGTAGTGGGTGCAGGGTGGAAGGGGTCAATGTGGAAAAAAGGGGACATCTGTAATATTTTGAACAATTTAAAAAAATGTACATGAATGTATATTTTGAAGTATTTTTCTATGTAATTTCTTATAAAAAAATAAATTCTTTCTGTATTGTCAACATTTAATTCTTTGATCCAGCTGGTCTCCTTCACACCTTTTTATATATCTTCAACCTTTTCTTCTTTACTGTGCTTTCTACACCAGAATATAAACATACTTTAGTCTTCCATTTTAAAAAAGGAAAAAAATTATCCTTCGGCCTCAGATTCCTCTATTCCCTCTCTCTTCAAGCAAGCTCCTTGAAGAAGTAGTCTACACTAGATGTTTTCACTTACTTGCCTCTCAATTACTTCTCAACACAATCAGTTTGGCATTTTCCTTCAACTGGTCACTCACTAGAGACCTTCTAATTGTAAAATCCATCTGGCACTTTTCTGTTATCTTGACTGCCTATGCCATATAATGCTGATGACAAATACTTTCTTGATTTCTGTCCTTTTTACTTAACATTTTACTTTATTTTCACGTGTTATCAAGAATTATTTTGAGTGTTTTATTTAACTTTTTAAATAAAAGTTGTGTATTCTTTTAGAGAATTTGGAAAATGTAGAAATCTATATAAATAAGGCTGATAAGTAATATCACCCCAAATCATACCAAAAAGAATCATTGTTGACATTATGGTGTGCTTTATTCCCTTTTTGGGGGGTATATATCATATATCCACATACATATATTCTATATGTGCACAGATCTATGATATCATATGTGTATAACATATAACACATCTATTTATATATATATGCATGCATGTCATGTATTTCATGTGACTATGTATGTCATTCATATTAAATTAACTTATAAACTGGCAATTATACAGCACCTAAAATTTTGTATTACTCAACATTTTCTTAAGTATTTTTTAATACCACTAAAAATTCTTCATTCATAACTTTTCATGGTTATAGATTTTATCATATATCATAAATTACTTTTAATCATTCCCCTATAGTTTTACTTCCTCATTCTAAAACTTTTAACATCCTGGAGAAAACAGAATCCTAGTACACTGCTAGTGAGATTGCAGACTGGTGAAGCTACTATCAAACCCAGTATGCAGTTTTCTCAAAAAATTAAATATGGAACTGCCTTTTGACCCAATGATTCCACTTCTAGGAATATATCCTAAGAAACCTGAAACACCAATCAGAAAGAACTTATGCACCCTTATGTTCATAGCAGTGCTATTTACAGTAGCTAAGATCTGGAAACAGCCCAGTGCCTATCAGTAGATGACTGGATAAAAAAGCTGTGGTACATTTACACCATGGAATACTATGCAGCTGTAAAAAGAAGGATCTCTTTCATTTTGAGACAGCATGGATGGAAATGGAGAGTATTATGCTAAGTGAAATAAGCCAGTTAGAGAAAGACAAGTATCACATGATCTCACTTATATGTAGAATGTGATAAACAAAATAAACTGATAAACAAAATAGATGCAGAGACATAGAAGCATGGAACAGACTGACAAATCTCAGAGGGAAAGTGGGGGTGAGGGAGTGGGTGGAGAGAGATTAATAAAAGAACTTTTATGCATAATGCATAATCCATGGACACAGACAATAGTATGGGGAAGGCCTGGGGGTGGGGCAGATACAGGGTGGAAGGGATCAGTGGAGAGAAAAAAAGGGGACATCAGTAATACTTTCAACAATAAAGATAATTTTTTTTTAAAGTCAAAAGATAAGTGTATACAAAAATAATAATAAAAATTTTAGCATCCTGTAGATAAAAATAACAAATATGTGTGTGTTTTTATTCATCTTTTCAGACCTTTTTGGAAGTTGCTGACAGTTCCGGCACTGTATCAGTGATCATGTGGAATACCCTGTGTCCTGAGTGGTATAAATGTTTACGGGTTGGTTTAGTTCTTCTGCTTCAAGATTATTCTGTTAAAAAGAGTTTTCCATTCAGGCCACAGCCTCTCCCTGTGGATCCACAGATCAAGCTAATTTCTACTATGGGTTAAGTATCCAATGCATTTTTTTTCTTTTATGGCTGTATTTTTTTGTGTAAATTTGCAAAGTACCATATCAGTCAAAGACTTAAAAATTACTGAAGCTATTAGAACCTGACAAACCTTTAAATTCTTGTATCTATAAAATTTTCAAGAAATCATTTAATGAATATACTTATTTATTATTGCATTTATTAAGAAAAATTATCTGAGATATTTATTGTTGCTTAATGAATAAGCTCCACTTGGGACTACCTATTTTTATTATCTTTTATTTTTTCATTATAATATTAACTTAATGACTTGAATGTAGTTTTCTGTTACTATGAGATTTTGTCAACATCTTATATTGAAATAATTTCAAACTTACATAAAAATTAGGGTAGTATAAAAAACTCCTATATACCTTTACACAGATTGAACCATTGTTAACATCTACCTTTCCTTTGTCACTTTCTCTCTCTCCGTATACATATATATATTTTGTCATCTGAATCATTTGAGAGTAAGTGGCAGCCATTATACATACCTCTTTACCTTCAAACACCTCATTAATTTTTCAGTATATATTTCCTAACAAGAACACTCTATTACATAATCACAGTACAGTTATCAAAATCAGGAAATTTAAGTTAATATAATACTGTTATCTAACCTATTGCCAATATTCCAATGTTGGCAATTGCTACGATTTCGAAAGGGCTCTTCCTAATTAGTATTAAAATCAAAGTTATGGCATCTTGGCATCACCCTAAATATTTTGGGAACATGAGAATTAATATATTAAGTAATTGCTTTAAGAGTTGGATATGATGTTTTCTTGAATTTCCATTTTCAAGATTGTAGATTACATCACTCAACAACTTTAAGTATTGTTTTTTTGCTTATAATAGTTTTATACTGGACCTGTATTTCTATGTATTTTAAATTTCCTAGTTAATCCATTAACTGTAATTACTTAGAGAATGTTCAGACAATGTAGCCTTTGTTCATTGTTTCCTTAAATATATGTTTATTTCGGAAAACCTCAGATGATTGACATCAGAAGATGTCTGAATGAATCATAAATATGTGAAATGTTTTTCAAAATAATTAACAATAAGAGAACTGTGAAGTAAGACCCTCCCAAAATTGTCATTTTGTGTCACTAGATTGACAAATAAGAAATTTGATGATACCAAAATTTGGAGAGGATGTGGATCAAAGGGAATTCTTATACACTGTTGATGGAACTATAAAAAGTTCTTTATTTTAAAATAGTTTAGAATTATCCTGTCAAGTGGAGCATTTGCATATTGTACAATCCAGGGTTTCCCTCCTAGGTATAATACGTTAGAAAACTCTTGCCTGTGTAACATAGAGAGGCATGTACAAAACATTCATAGTGACCCTGTCTGTAGTAGCAAAAACTGGAAATAATCCAGATTCTGTCAACACGATAATGGGAAAATAAAATTGAAGTATGCCAATACCCTGGAACATTATTCAGCAATGAATATGGGAAAGAAACTACTATGTGCAGCTACATGGATGAATTTTAGGACCATAATAATGAATGAAAAGAGTAGCCCTAGAATACTGTATATGATATGATTTCATCCATTACAGTTCCAGAACAAATAAAGCCAAAGAGTCTTTTGTTTGGGTAAAAACAAATAAGTGATTAAATATCTTTTTAAAATTTATTTTATTTTATTTTATTTTTAATTTTTAAATTTTATTTTTGTTTAAAATATTACCCATATCCCTTTTTCTCCCCAATGACCCATTCCATCCCATCCCATCCCCCTCCATAGTCCCTCTCCCCACCATTGTCCATGTCCTTGAGTTGTGCATATATGCATATAAATTATTTGGTTACTCTCTCCCCCTCCACCCACCTGCCCTCCTCCATCCCTCTGACATTCGTCAGTCTGATCTATGCTTCCATGTCATTGAATCTTTTCTGTCCATCAGTTTATTAAGTTCTTTAAATTCCACGTATAAGTGAGATCATATGATGTTTGTCTTTCTATGCCTGGCTTATTTCACTTAGCATAATTTTCTCCAGGTCCATCCATACTGTCCCAAAGGGTAAGAGATCCTTCTTTATTACAGCTGCATAGTATTCCATGGCATACATGTCCCACAGCTTTTTTATCCACTCATCTACTGATGGGCACTTGGGCTGTTTCCAGATCTTAGCTATTGTAAAC